CTAATATATATATATATATATTTAATTATATGAATTGTTATTGTCAGCATTATAATTATATTAATTCTAACTAATATATATATATTTAATTATATAAATTATGTTATTGTCAGCATTATAATTATTCTAAGCAATGACAGTCCTGCTGGGAATTTAATTAGTTTATTTCCTGTTGAAAAAATCAGATTTGAGACCAAAAATTAAAATTAAATAAAATCAAATGAGAAAGACTTTATGAAAATTAAAAATGCCTATTTAATCAGATCTCTCGAAATTTGTCTAAGTGGGGAAAAAATAAACTAAATTAAGAAAATGAATAAATTACCATTTTCAGAATTCTTTTCATTTTTCTGTGTTTTATCAATCATTCTTTAATTCCCAGTTTCAGCAAGGAATGTAAGAAAAGTCAGGTTAGGAGTCTAGCATGAAAGAGTTTCTTTCTTTTGGCAGTGTGTCGAAATTGGCTTAACTTATGTTCTCAGCTGACATAGAAGTAGAAAAATTATATTGAATTCATTGCTAGGTCAGCTGCTAAGAAATCTGGTTTACAGTGTTGGGCTAGACAGTTTTCTCTGTACAGAATCTATCATACATATCTATAAGGCGACTATTTGTCCTTGCTTAGAATATTGCTGCCACAGTTGGTCCAATGATCTTGCTATTTACCTTAAGTTCCTTGATAAAATCCTCAGATATACACGGTGGAGTAATGGATAGCGGCTTGGATTGAAGAATCAGAAAGCCAAGTTCGAATTCCATTCAAATCCATTACATTCACTTATGTGCTAATACCCTTGGAAAAGGTGTGAATCCTCTTTTTCTCCCTTCAGCTATGGGTAAATAGCAGGACAGACTGGGTTCTATAGCTGTGGATGGCAACTGGTCTAGGAGAAGGACAACTCTGAATTCAAAACCTGCGGAGGGTCGTTTTGGAACCTCGTGGCATATAGTGCACCAGGTCTCCGTATTCGGCCCTTCAAAATGTGTGGATGGTCCTGCATGAAACCTTCACCACTATAAGCAAACTCATATGCTGCTGTTGGGTTGTCGGTTTCCTAGGAACTGATCTGCTTGACCCTCATACGTTGAATTCGAAAGGAGAGTATATATATATATATATATACACACATACATACATATATATATATATATATATATATATATATATATATATATATATATATATATATATATATATAATATACAAAAAAAAGAAAGAAGTAAATTAAATTTGGACCTTCCATTTTTGAAACATGGTTAGAACTGTGTAGCAGAAAAAACCATATTTTAAATCAATTAATTTATAATACACACACACACACATATACATATATATATATATATATATATATATATATATATATATATATATATATATATATATATATATATATATGAGCGATTCTATTTACTTTCTCCCTCACTTCACCCCACCATGTATTATGGATATACTAGTGATGATTCTTTTTTGCTGGTTGAATTGTCTGAGGATCACTTCATTAGTCGTTTGCATTTATTCTAGGTTGGTTTTCTTGCTAGAAACTTCTAGATTTTCCTGAGCCCATCGTCTCTTATTAAATTAATGCTTCTTTTTCTCTTTCTTTCTTTTCTGCTAGGTGTGTGGCCCGGGTTTTGTTTTTTTTTGGGGGGGAGGGTTAATCTTATTACTCTCAAGGTTTCATTATACATATATGAGCAAGCGAGGGAGATAAACAGGTTTGATGATCACTTCAGTTGTTAAAGCCCCCACCAGTCCTCATGCATTATTGATTCCTATGTCTATAGTGTTTATATCCACAATCACCTCATCCACTATTTTAAGAATTTGTCCCTTTATTAAAAAAAAAAAAATAGCAAATTGTAAACAATATTACATACTTAAAATCAGGAGACAATTGAAACTATCTGGATGCCATTATGAAGAAAGAATACTTGGAGAATTAAACACTCACAGGATTGAATGCAGCACAACAGAAAGAAACGGCGAGTAATGAGTTTGCGTAAATGGATGATAAACTTGGGATGTTAGGGTCTACAGGTGTTTCTCCCCCTTTCTCACAGAACCAGCGTCACACACCTATCTCTGTCCATACTTTCATGGCAAATATTCGGACAAGCTATCTTCTTTAGTGCCACTGATTCAAACCATTACAGTTACGACATGAATTTTTATATCCATAGGGCTAATTCACCATTATCCATTCCACCCCTCTCCGTATTTCATTAGTAAGAAGGATACTTCATGCATTTTTCCAAGAGCAGTTACTCGTGGGACACACTGCTTACAAGAGCACTAGCATCTTAACCCCTTTAAGTCTAGGGTCTATAGTTATCTATCATTCATATCCTCATAATCTTCACTTCTCATTTGTTTAAATCACCTGCTTCAGTAAATCTCTACATTGAGTGGCTCTTGAGCCCTGTATTGGATGCACATCAATATAAATAGTGTCAGGTCATAAAACACAGAATTTATGAGGAACTCTTTCCATCTCATTCTCTTTCTTTCCATCTCATTCTCTTTCTTTCCATCTCATTCTCTTTCTTTCCATCTCATTCTCTTTCTTTCCATCTCATTCTCTTTCTTTCTTTCTATCTATCTAATTCTCTTTCTTTCTTTCTATCAATCTAATTTCTCTTTTTCTTTCTTTCATCTAATTTCTTTCTTTCTTTTTCTATCTATCTAATTCCTTTCTTTCTTTCTATCTATCTAATTCTCTTTCTTTCTTTTCTATCTAATTCTTTTTTTTTCTTTCTATCTAATTTTCTTTCTTTTTCTTTCTTTCTATCTATCTAATTCTCTTTCTTTCTTTCTATCTAATTTTCTTTTCTTTCTTTCTATCTAATTCTCTTTCTTTCTTTCTATCTATCTAATTCTCTTTCTTTCTTTCTATCTATCTAATTCTCTTTCTTTCTTTCTATCTAATTCTCTTTCTTTCTTTCTTTCTATCTAATTCTCTTTCTTTCTTTCTTTCTATCTAATTCTCTTTCTTTCTTTCTTTCTATCTAATTCTCTTTCTTTCTTTCTTTCTTTCTATCTAATTCTCTTTCTTTCTTTCTTTCTTTCTATCTAATTCTCTTTCTTTCTTTCTTTCTTTCTATCTAATTCTCTTTCTTTCTTTCTTTCTTTCTATCTAATTCTCTTTCTTTTTTCTTTTCTTTTTTCTTCTATCATTCTCTTTCTTCTTTTTTCTTTCTTTCTTTCATTTCTTTCTTTCTTTCTTTCTTTCTTTCTTTTCTTTCTTTCTTTTCCTTTTTCTTTCTTTCTTTCTATCTATCTAATTCTCTTTCTTTCTTTCTTTCTTTCTCATTCTTTCTTCTTTCTTTTCTTTCTTTATCTAATTCTCTTTCTTTCTTTTCTTTCTTTTTCTAATTCTCTTTCTTTCTTTCTTTTCTTTCTATCTTTTTCTTTTTCTTTCTTTTCTTTTTTTCATCTATCTAATTCTCTTTCTTTCTTTCTTTCTTTCCCCTATCAATTCTCTTTCTTTCTTTCTTTCCTTTTTCATTCTCTATCTTTTCTTTTTCTTTCTATCACTTTCTTTCTTTCTTTCTATCTAATTCTCTTTCTTTTTTCTTTCTTTCATTAATTCTCATTCAATTCTTTCTTTCTAATTTCTTTCTTTCTTTCTTTCCCTATCCAATTCTCTTTCTTTTCTTTCTTTTCTTTCTATCTAATTCTCTTTCTTTCTTTTCTTTCTTTTCTAATTCTTTCTTTCTTTTTTTTCTTTCTTTCTTTTCTTAATGTTTGTTTCTCTTTCTTTCTTTTCTTCCATCCAATTTTTCTTAATAAATCCTCTTTCTTTTTTCTTTTCTTCTAATTTTCTTTCTTTCTTTCTTTCTATCTAATTCTCTTTCTTTCTATCTATCTACCTATGGCATCTTGTTTTTTTGCTTTCTCTGTCTTTCTTGTTTGTTTGCTTGTAACTTTTGGATTAGGGTTAGGGTTAATAAATCAACACTACTTTGTAATAGACAATTTATAAATCGCAGCTATGCGACAATTTTATAATCGCTAGATATTTTATAGTAGATTTTGTGCACTTTTGGGGAGAATCGGATCCCAAGCGTCGTCTTAGCTTAGTAAATATTTTTTCTTTCTTTAATTTCACACTTTGGGTGTTGCAACCATCCACGCACAGTATATTTTTCCAGCGCGTGACTAAGTCAAGTTTCCCGCCAAGGCGCTCTGATCCTGTCACGTGATTGTATTATCTATAAAAACAAACACTAGTTTGCCTCTTTCTTTCTTCTCTATTCTTGCTGCAAAATGTAGTCCCAGTGAATTATCGTCTTGGCATTGCGGTCAGACATTAAAGAACATTACCAAAATACACATACGTACTAACATTCACTAAAATACGAACTCTTACGAACGTTCACACACACACAAATGTTCGCACACAAACACAATGTTAACTGTCTGTCCTTTGTAAATGTTTTGTTTAATACATAAATGTGTTTCAGATTATGAAATGGACAAAGTCCGACAATTATTTTAAGACAGTTTTATGTTTATACATTCTTTTTATAGATACAAATATTTAAGTAAATGCTCTGTTATATAATAAACAGTATTAAAGGCACGTCAGGCTAAATGGTGTTTCCGTATAGGATAAAGGTTTGAATCCTGCCAGAGGACGAATATTTTCTATGAAAATTTCTCGGACATTCAGGCCGGTAAATGTTGTTTAATACTGTTTATTATAAACAGAGCATTTACTTAAATATTTGTATTTATAAAAGAATGTATAAACATAAAATGTCTTAAAATACATTTGTTTATATATATATATATATATATATATATATATATATATATATATATATATATATCTTAGTTTTTTTTTGTCTTCCATATCTTCAACTGGACATAATCCAAGTCCAACGTTCTATTGTAGCTGGGCCTTCTAGCAAGAAATATAAACGAATGGGTTTTCTTTACATCTTCACCCCTGATCCTCTTCATAATGGTGACTGCCGACGTGATTTTGTGAAGGAAAGCCAATAGTCGACATAATGGTCCACTATAATTATATCTGTTGACTCAAGACACATCAACGGGTCAATATCCTTATGAAAGATTTGATTAATATCTTAGAGAGTTTATTTTTCGATATCTATCAATTTTGAATTTTTACCCCAATACGATATTTATAATAATCTTGAATCGGCCTACAATGTAGTGTTGCTCTTGCAAGACACAGAATTAAAAAAAAAACAAAAAACAATCATATTGAAACATTCATAGGTTTTTATATCTAATGAATGGGAAAATCATGAAACTCTGAGTTGTACTGTAAACATAGGTATATATGTGTACTTATTAATATATGCTTCATAGCTCAGTTTAACTACTGATGTAATGAATATGCGTACACCTGGGTTTCCCTTCACAGTAATATGATTGGTCGGTGTCAGTCATAAATACAGACTGATGTAAAGGTACAAGGACGCCTATTGTCTTCGCCTATTGCCTACCACTACGACGAGGACCAGTCCATTACGGTTACCTGCTGGATTATCCTACACAGTTACATTAGTCAACAACCACTTTGATACTTTGAACAAATATATCCCTTTCCGGGACATGTCAACTACATTGAGCACTTTTTTGTCTACACAATTGATTAAATAAATAGTTATTTGCAGCCCTGTATGTGTAAGTAATTGCTCATATATATATATATATATATATATATATATATATATATATATATATATCGTTGATATATCGTTGATTGTATTCTTTATTTAGATCATTTCTATATCTATCTATTATATTGAGTGGTAGGTCTCTGTTCACGAATTTACTTCATTACTGAAGGCCGTTTGTAACCTGAAATGTTTATAAACCAAAACTATTTTTCCAATAGGAATCAATGAAGAGAAAAGTCACTGTACAATATAATTGGGGGGAAAAAAGGCCCGCCACAACACTGAATGTATACGGCGGGTGACTCAGAAATTATTTTGTTCGGGTTAACTTTGTTCGGCATTGTTGTTTGAGAACCGAAGAATTTTCATCTCGAATTTTCTGTTCAAAAACCAATTTGTTCGACATGTGAGACATTCAACAAAAAGTCTCATATATATTAGGTTGGCAAAAAAATGATGTCGTTTTTGACGTTCAACTTAACGTCAAAAAACGACATTATTTTGCACCAACCTAATATATATAATGTAAGTAAATTGATACATATGTTAGTGGGATGATCATATTTAAATATATAGATAAGGAAATTGATACATATGTTAGTGGGATGATCATATTTAAATATACAGATAAGTAAATTGATACATATGTTAGTGGGATGATCATATTTAAATATATAGATAAGTAAATTGATACATATGTTAGTGGGATGATCATATTGACATTTCGAAGCAAAATTATCAATCATTGTAAAAGGAAATTTGAAAAAATGTTTACTTCCGGTGCCTGTTCCAGAATGCAGAATCGAAGATGTCAGTTTGTTTAACGAAAAGAAAAACCCACACTTGGACACACCTCGATGGGAAATGTGTTTTTTACAAGAATAGGTTGGAGAAAGAGGAATGTGATTGGGTTGGAGTCGGCGATCTGGAATTTGTGTTTATTATTTCGTTTACTTTCAGTCGAGCCTGTAAGGTTTGGCTATCTGAAGTGGACGTCAAGTGTCGTTGGAGACACAGAGAGAGAGAGAAACAGATGGCGTCTGTCTTGTCTAAAAGTAGTAAAGTACTACATTGTCTGGTGAATCGTCAGCAGTAATTTCTAAGAATAATGTCTGTAACTGTTTCTTGTTTTCTCTCTTTCATTTCTGTTTCTTCTGGCTCTGTTTTCGCCTATTTTTTAACGTCCTGTTCATTAACTCTAATTAATTTCCTGTTCATTAATATTTTCTTTACTCCCATATTTTTTTTTACTTACTTCCGCTTCTTCTATTTCTTGTTCTTTCTACGCTGTTCTTTGTTTCTTTACCCTTTTCCTTCTCCATCTTTTTCCCCCTCACCTCTTTTTACTGCTTTTTTCTTTCCTTCTTTTTTCTTGCTCTCCTTCTTTTTCTTTTTTTTCTTCCGCCTTTTCTCTTCCTCTCTTGTCCTTCCCTTTTCTCTCATATTTCCATTGGCTTTTTTTCTTTTCTTTTCTTTTCTTTCTTACCTTTTCGCTTTCTTCTCCCACTTTTTCATTTTTGCTTCCTTATTCTCTCACTTTTTTTCTTATCCACTTTCTTTTACTTTTTTCTTCCTCTCTTTTTTCTCTTAGCTTTCTTCCCCTTCCTCTCCTTTTCTCTTAGCTTTCTTCGCCTTCCTCTCTTTTTCTCTTAGCTTTCTTCGCCTTCCTCTCTTTTTTTCTCTTAGCTTTCTTCCGCCTTCTTTTTTCTTTTCTCGGCTTTCTTCGCCTTCCTCTTTTTTTTTTTCGGCTTTTTCGCCTTTCATCTTTTTTTTCCCTCAGCTTTCTTCGCCTTCCTCTCTTTTTTTTTCTTTTTTTTTGTTAATGTTCAGCTTTCTTCGCCTTCCTCTCTTTTTCCCCTCAGCTTTCTTCGCCTTCCTCTCTTTTTTCCCTCATTTTTTTCCTTTTTTTTTTCCCCTCAGCTTTCTTCGCCTTCCTCTCTTTTTCCCCTCAGCTTTCTTCGCCTTCCTCTCTTTTTTCCCCTCAGCTTTCTTCGCCTTCCTCTCTTTTTTCCCCTCAGCTTTCTTCTCTTTCCACTATTTTTCTTTCCATATTCTTTTTCTTCCAACTCTTTCTTTTCTAACCTGAATTCAAACTCTACGCAAGTCTGTTACTTTACGCTAATTACTTATAGAAAATGTAAGCGTCCATTTTTCTGCACTTTAACTTCTGGTTAAATAACAGTGCACAATGGTCTTCCTTATTTATCGTGGTAGCCACCCTGTTAGAACTAAAATTGGGCTCTTTTAACTTGTTAGGGTAACCAGTCTAGTAAACTTCATAGTTTCAAAGTGGGACGTTCTCTGCCGATCTGTCTTGCACTCGATGCATCCACCAATGCTATAGTTGCAGACTGTCTCTGACTCCAATAATTTATGGGATTTGTAATTGTGATAAATATAAAAGTATGAAATTCCAGCAATTTCCTTAATTTCCATATATTTGTGCCTTATCTTACAAGAACGCCTAATACGCTGCTGTAACTGTTTACATTTGGTAGTAATTTTAATAAAGATGCATTCCAAAACTTAAGAAATATTAACATTTCTTTAGAAACAAAGAAAAAGAGTTGGGGGTATGACTTCTATTTAGTATTCATCCTTCAATATGGTAGTAAATACAGGATAATTTCCCTACAGATGTAGAGTAAACTTGTGGTTCTACAGGAGGATGCTGAGAATTCATTATGTGAACAAGGAGGAAGTTTTAAGAAAAATAGAAACAAAAAGAAAACACAAAAAAGTGTTGGAACTCATAATGAGGAAAGACGGCTAGGAGAATTTATCACACCCAGGATATATTGAATGCAAAATGGTAAGAGGCAAACTTATAGTAACCTATTTGATGAGCTTGTGGAAATGGATGGTAGAACAAGGATTGGGAGGAGCAGTAAAAAGACAAATCTTACTAAGTTACTGTTGAAGCTTAAATAAGCATGGAATAATACAACACAAAATGTACGTTAACAAAATGTATTGAAACAAAGAATAGGTACACAATATTTACAGTTAGTTTGGTATATTCTTGGGAAGACTGTTCCTGCATAATGGGTTGACTAAATCGCAGTCGGGCAGAGTCTCTGATTCAATTTCTTAATCTCTACTATCTTCCCCGTCTTCCGGTACCAACCCATATTTATATGGTCGGTAGTCCGCTTATGTAAATTAGGTGTATCATACACAACAGTTACAAAGGATAGGAAGCTGTGAAGCGCCATGAATATCTACCTAATGAACTTGTGTAAATGCATGGCAGAACAAGGACTGGGAATGATAGTAAATATACACATATTACTTAGAACAACAAATAATAGGAAGCTGTGGTGAGACATGATCACCTACCTAACGAGCTTGTGTAAATAGATAGCAGAATAGTGACTGGAAAAGATCGTAAGGAGGCAAAATATATTACTATGTGCTTTAAATGATAGGAAGTTGTGAAGAACTATGATCTCCCACGTCTTGATGGAGCATAGCGTAGAAGAGAAATACGAGATTTAGTATTCATCTATGCGATGAAGTATTATCAATTATTAATAATTCATTTTTAATTCGAAATTTTAATGAATCTTCATTTTTGATCCCGGCTGCTTGCAAGCCAAAGTGGAATAATTGGTCTTTGAACTGTAATAAAAAGCCACTAAGATTAGTCTATTGCTTTGTGTGCCATTTGGAGTTAAGTGCGATAACCACACCTTGCACTCTGTTCAAGGCAAGTCCCTCTATGTCAGTCCGGCCGCCTTGTCCTCCCTTCTGATTGATTCACTGAGTCCCCACCCCCTCGGCTTTCAAACGCTTCCCTTGTGGATTCTAGTTTAATGTCCGTTTTTGTGACATTATCAACTCGTTTACGTAGGGCGTGTCCGTTCTGTCCCTATTTTCTCTTTTTTTATGTCCTGGATGATGGGGTTCTAATTCCCTAACTGCCATATGTTGACGCTGGAAAACTTCTCGGGGTCATTTGAGGTTCCTATGTTGGCGCGGGCATCTGTTGACAAAGGTATGGCGTCTGTTGGTAACGGGTGCTCGTAATTCTCCAAGACTGTTATTAATATAAGCGAACTCTTTTGAAAAGCCCAATCTTATTTTGGAAGGATAAATATCTTGGTGATCTCGTTGCAGCTGAAATGAAGACTAATGAATTATATATTGTTATTGATTTTAGAATTGCATTCCTATTGATTAGAAAGGGTACCCCGAAAAGTTTGGTTATTTATAGTAATTACGTTTCTGGAGGTTAATTAGTTTCCAGAATAAATTTGTAAAATGTTCCGGATTCTGAAACGGATTCTTGAGTTGGTGGGGGGGGAAGTTTTCTTCCATTTATAAAATTAGAGTATTTAATCCTCACACAATTTAGTAATGTTGAAATTATCGCTAACATTTTTTTTTTTTTTTGTAGAGTTTTGCAAATCTCGACAAAAATGTTAGCAATAAATTCAACTTGGATTGGTGCTTAATTATCCGGCGTTTTTATTTGTTAATAAAAAATTTCTGTTTTATTGACTTCTTTTTTTAATAAAAATATTTTATTTTCAGGCTATAAAAATGCGTACCGATAATCATAGGCTCCGGAAAAATCATTTAAAAATATTATTGTTGAATTATTATGATACTTTTTTCGTAATAAATATTGTGTAAAAAAACGCCTGGTAATTGTGCACCAACCCAAGAACTATAATGAGGACTTCAAAACGCGTAGGCATGTAAAAAAATTTAGTACCTAAAAAAAGAAAATTTGAAATGTTTCTACTAGTACACTATTTACATTATTCAGACTATTGTCCTCATCTTTGTCGCCATATTTATCACAACGTTTCATCCGTTGTACGCTCCGGCCTTCTTCAGGAGGTTGGAATGTCGAACTGAACCCTTTATTTCGCACACTGGGGTAGACTGTTCTAATTCCACGTGCCATGTTTAATGGATGTCATTTATCAGTTATCTCCTGTTAATTTCCCTCTGAAAGTTCTCCACTGCCTTAACCGGGTATTGAACTCACACTCATTGGGTCCTGTCATTAACGCCTTATCCACTGTCCTCCCTTTTATAGTGCTACTATTGTACATTATATTTATCAGAATTAAAAATATATGAAAACTTAAAGAAAAAATATACAGAAAGAGTATCGCTTTTTTTGATTAAATAACTATTTGTTATTTTGATCTTTAAATTGTTTTAAAATAATGGGAGTATTTTTTTATGCTAAATAATAAAACTTTTCATTTTGTCCAACCCAAAATTAATGAAAATTTATTGTACTACGCTACATACCATAGTAAAACCAACTCTACCTTGTACCCCCTCACCTGTTTGTACTTATACCCAAAATTTGGTTTCGATCGGTCAATGTATGGGTGTTTTAGATGTGATGGACGGACAGACGGAAACCACAGAAATTTATATATAGATAAATATTCGGAATTTTGATATTTCTCTCATGTTTTTTTTTTTTTTGCTTTTTTTTAATGCTTTTTCAGTTTCCTTCTTTTCTTTCTCATTGTTTACATTACTTTTTCTTCATTTTATCATTTCTTTCTTTTCTTTTTTTATTTCTTTCTTTTTCTTTGTCTTTCTTTCTTTTCCGTCTTTTTTATTTCTTTTTATCTTTGCTTTTTGTTTCATTTTTATTTTTCCTTTCTTTTCCATCCTTTTTCCTTTCCTTTCTCCTTGCCTTTTCTTACATTTTTCCCCTCTTTTCTTATCCTTTCCTCCTTCCATTATTCCTTTTGTCTCTTTGATCCTTTCTTTCTTTTTCTTTCTTTGCTTTCCCTCTCCTCTCCTCCTTACCTTTTTTCCTTTTTTTTTTTTTTTTTTGTATGTTTCTTTATTTTCGTAACTTTTTTTCTTTTTTCTACTTTTTCGTTTTCTTTCTTTACTCCTTTATTTTTCTTTCCTTCTTTTTCTTTTTCCTTTTCTTTTCCTTCTTCCTCTTTCTTTTTTCTTTCGGTCGTTTTCTTCCTTTACATTTTCTTTCCTTTTTCACTCTTGTTTCTTTCTTTTTTTTTTCTTACCGCCTATTTTTCTTTCTTTCTCTAACTCCGTTTCTCTTTCTTTCTCTCACTTTCCAAACCCCCCTCTCGTTCTCCTCAAGTCCTTTCCACCTTTTCTGTATCCTCATTCTTCTTAGTTTTAATTATTACAGAAGAAAGTCCATTTTCGCTCCTGACATTTCTGTTGTGTTTATTGATGTTTCTCCCTCCGGGAAATTTCATTTTTTTTTTTTTTTTTTTTAAATGAAAGAACTTCTCTAGACAAAAAATACATTCACATTATTTACATACCGGCTATTGTTCGCATCTTTGTTTTTATCATCACGTTTCGGCTGATGCACCCACCGGTCTTCATCAGGTGCATGTTAATCCGGTTGGCTTTCCGAAAATTTCAGTCTGAACACTTTATTTAATATACGAGGTAGATTCTTCACGTTCCACTTCCCATGAATACGGTTAGCTCATCTTATTTCGCACTCCTTAGTTATATATATATATGTCTAAGTTGTATCTGTCTATGTCTCTGAAATGAGGTATTCTCACATTTGTATTTCCCCCATTATGGACATTATCATAATAACACCTAATTTCATGGAAGTAGCTGAAAGAAAAAAAATAAAATGTTAAGCTCATAGAAGCTTTTATAATTGTTTTTGCCTGTCTATATCTCTGACATATGATTACTTCCATTATTTATATTGTTAGTCTTAGTATGTACCTGGAAACACCAGCAGTTAAGACATGGTTCCATGCTCCACAAAACATCCTGATCAGAGGCCTTGGATGTTGTTTATCGTCTCATCCAAAACGCGGACGTAATTTATCGTCTTACCCTAGACGGCCTGGTTTAGATGATGCATCCCGAGAAAAGGAGACGAGAAAAATGTTCCCCACCATTCAATGCGCACTGTCCCCGTAGATTAAATAACGTCTTCACTTCGACTTGCACATTGCGGGCACATCGGCCGAAACGTCCAGATAATAGCAAGAAAGATTAGGACAATTATGTGATAACTCTTCACCCAAGAAGTTAATACTGATTAAATAGATTTTTCTTAGATCAGTTGTTCGTACTGCTTACAGCTTTTGATAGACACACTTCGAAATAGCCTGGTTTTTTTCTAAACCATTTATACTGAATGTGAAAAAAGGTTCCTCTCTCGCACACAAACGACATATATTGCCTCCCTTATATGACATGTATTCCCTCCCTTATATGACATGTATTCCCTCCCTTATCTGACATATATTCCCTCCCTTATCCCCTCCCTTATATGACATGTATTCCCTCCCTTATCCTTTCCCTTATATGATATATATTCCCTCCCTTATATGATATATATTCTCTGCCTTATTCCCTCCCTTATATGACATATATTCCCTCCCTTATGACATGTATTCCCTCCCTTATATGACATGTATTCCCCCCTTATCCTCTCCCTTATATGATATATATCCTCTCCCTTATATGATATATATTCTCTGCCTTATTCCCTCCCTTATATGATATATATTCCCTCCCTTATTCCCTACCTTATGACATGTATTCCCCCCTTATCCCCTCCCTTATGACATGTATTCCCCCCTTATCCCCTCCCTTATATGATATATATTCCCTCCCTTATATGATATATATTCCCTCCCTTATATGACATATATGCCCTCCAGTATATGACATATATTCCCTCCAGTATATGACATATATTCCCTCCAGTATATGACATATATTCCCTCCAGTATATGACATATCCCATCCCTTATTCCCTCCCTTATATGACATATATCCCATCCCTTATTCCCTCCCTTATATGACATATATCCCATCCCTTATGACATATATTCCCTCCCGTATATATGACATATTCTCACCCTTATTCCCTCCCCTATATGACATATATTCTCACCCTTATTCCCTCCCTCATATGACATATATTCTCACCCTTATTCCCTCCCTCATATGACATATATCCCATCCCTCATATGACATTTATTCCCTCCCTTATATGACTTTGCCTGACTTAATTGACTGGTGAACTGAGTGACCTGAGATGTTATCTCTTCTATTTTACAGGTAACACACAGCTTTGTTGCTAAGAAGACATTGTAACATGTGATCTTTTCATAGTCGTTGATTTTTATCAAGAAAGGATAAATTTGACGAAAGAGAGACATTCACACCAAAAATATAGGCAAACCATTCAAAAAAAAACTCAGCCTACGGATCATTTTTCTTAAGTCATGGAAGGTGAGTAAGACAATGGTCATGCAGTGCAGTAGTTTTTAGATAATAGAAGAATGAAGATTAAAAGCGCTTTAATGAAGCAGCCATGATGGCTGAAAAATTTAAAAGGGGAGATAACTGCTGATAATTTATGAAATAAAGAACGAATTAATGGCGTTCGGAGAATTTTTTAACTATCTTTTCAGGGATTCTGATTCAGATTTGTTAAATGATAGTTTATTAAAACTTTTTTTTATAATATCTGGGGATTTGTTACATTTCTTTGTCATCAAGCATTTATTTAAAAAAAGTAAATTTTTTAAATTTCTTTTCAACTTTTTTCACTTATTCGTTTATTTGTTACTTTTAGCCTCTCGCTCCCTTATTTCTTTCAGTTGATTTACTTTTTAACTCTCTCTATCTCTCTCACACATACACACACTCTTTCTCTCTCTCTCTCACTTCTTTCACTCCCTCTCCTATTTATCGCATCTTGGTCATTGTATTTCTCTTTTACTCTCGTGTTTGTTTATCTGCCTCTCAATTGCATTTCTGTGTCACGTTCTTTCTAAACTGTTTCTTTCTAAACTGTTTCTTTCTTTTTTTTCTTCCTCTCTGTCTCCTTTTCGTTTGTTTGCTTGTCACTTTCTTTTTCGTTTGTTTGCTTGTCACTTTCTTTTTCGTTTGTTTGCTTGTCACTTTCTTTTTCGTTTGTTTGCTTGTCACTTTCTTTTTCGTTTGTTTGCTTGTCACTTTCTTTTTCGTTTGTTTGCTTGTCACTTTCTTTTTCGTTTGTTTGCTTGTCACTTTCTTTTTCGTTTGTTTGCCTGTCACTTTCTTTTTCGTTTGTTTGCCTGTTTCTTTCCTTCTCGTTTGTTTGCTTGTCACTTTCTTTTTCGTTTGTTTGCCTGTTTCTTTCTTTCTCGTTTGTTTGCTTGTCACTTTCTTTTTCGTTTGTTTGCCTGTTTCTTTCCTTCTCGTTTGTTTGCTTGTCACTTTCTTTTTCGTTTGTTTGCCTGTTTCTTTCCTTCTCGTTTGTTTGCTTGTCACTTTCTTTTTCGTTTGTTTGCCTGTTTCTTTCCTTCTCGTTTGTTTGCTTGTTTCTTTCTTTCTTATTCGTCATTCTTTCTCGCTTATTCCATTCTGTCTTTTTCGTGCCTGTTTTTCTTTCTAGATTTTTAACTCTCCGTCTCTGTTTAGCTTGTTTTTGTCCCTCTCTCTTTCCACCTTGTTTTTTTCTCAGTCTGTCTACCTTGTTTCTCTCTCTCTCTCTTGTTTCTTTCTCTCTCTCTCTCTCTTGTTTCTCTCTCTCTCTCTCATATATATATATATATATATATATATATAGTTTTTCTCTCTTCCTCTTTGTAGCTTATTTCTTTCTTTGTCTCTCCCCCTCTTTCTCGCTCGTTTCCCAATCTCCCTTTGTTGATTCCCTCTCTCTCTCTCTCGCCCATTTCTTTGTTTTTTTTCTTTCTCATTTTGATCTTTGTCTTTTTTTTTTTTTTTCACTCATCACCAATTTGGTTAGTGTAACATTTTCACATAAGTTTTAATTCATAACACTAAAATATAATAATAATGAATTTAAAACGCAGTTATCTCCCCTTTTTGCATTCCACATCCCCTTACCAATTTTTCGCATGTTTAAAGTTTTCCAATCCCATCCATCTCCTAAACTGCTCGCATATATATATATATATATATATATATATATATATATATATATAAGCAATATAACTTAGACGCGTTTGCATAAGGCGAAGCACTGACCTTTTTCTGCTCACATTAAAATTACCCACAATGCATGGCGCTGCGGTTGGTTGTACAAAATCTGAATGCAATACGGTATGAGGATTATTCGAAAATTTCTCAGCCTCACAACGACAGATTTAGGAACTTATCAAAAGATGCTTAAGTGATTGGCTTTTGTTGCTTCCGTTTTCTTTTTTTGTGTTTGCCTGTTGTGCTTCAAGAGTAACTCAGAGAATTCCCCTAGAGACTCCTGATATGTCGCCTCCTCCGCGATCTGTCTAGAAAGGTCAACATAGGATTGTCCCGCCAGTGTTCCTCTCAGCGTTCAGAAGTCTTATCTTTGATCTGCTTTGTCACAGGCATAAGTTTAAAATGTTTCAACATATGCCCCCAAAACAAAACCGCAGACATTAAGGAATGATTCGGGCGTATTTATTTTCAATGCCGAGACAGATATTTCTTGATTAAGTTTTTGATCTGTGGCAATGTTTTTTTTGTTTTGGTTTTTTGAGGGGATCAACAGAGTTTTCTGGCATCTTATCTTTTATCAAAAGGGGAGCTAAAACCTAGTTTTGTTTTCCATCCGGGTAAAAACTACATTTCTTTCATCTAACTACAAATCGTGATAACGCTAAAGGCAACACTAGTTCAACGTTTCCTGCATTTATATTAGCGAAGCTGCGATCTTTTCCATCAGATTTTGTTTAGAATGTTTTACGGTAAAAATAATAGACTAATTGTAATTTAAACTTCTAATTTAATTTCCCTTGCTCTGTTAAGAGAACTTTATATAGATTTTCATGATTACTTTCGGGTATCATTGTCATCGAATTACGATCTGTGTTCAACAAAAAAAACAAAAAGTCAAAAGTAATTCAATCACTGAGTTTCCGAAGGGTCCAACTACAAATAATTAAAAAAAAAAAAAAAAAAAAAAAAGAGTTGGGCTCTTTCAAAACACGGTGATTCAGTTATAAGAACAAAATTAAAAAAAAAAAGAAGAAAGTCTACCATTGCTGTGATAGGTGTCGGTTTTCCATTGGCGTCGATTAAATAGAAATTTAACAAGGATTTTGAGTGCTGATTTTAAAAAGGAGACCCCCTCCCCGTAAGTTAAAAGATCAGTGTCGTACAATTTTTCTTATTTCTGTTCCCCTCTCCATATAGCTACGTACCAAACAAAACTAAATATATGGAGGGTGCAACAGATATTCTGCTCCCAGAAATACCTTCAACATAATATGACATTAGTGGCAATGGTGTTTTCATCTCGCTAATGTCTTACCATTATGTAGGAAGTATTTTCCGCGGCCTATATATATATATATTAAAAACAGTCATTCTACTATAATATGTAACTGCTCCAATATATATATATATATATATATATCACCGGTTTAACAAAAATATCTGGTAACCGCAATGTTGGCGCATTTATATATTATACCAGAATGACTGTTTTTAATTTAAAAATATATATTTAGCATTTAAAATAAACAGGTTATATATATATATATATATATATATATATATATAAGTGCGTAGGTATGCAGAAAATAGAAAAGAACACGTTGGGTGCATAATCCAGGGTCCCTTAGTATTTTTGTTTTTATTTTTTAAGAAGACAGTGCTCCATACAGAAGTAGAGCTTATATTATAATAATATCTTTTGTATAAAAATATGATTTCTTCGCTACATAAGAGTTCTCAAGTTTCAAAAACGAGAGCCGAAATCATCCAAATAAAAATTTCGCTTGAAGATGAAACGGGACTAAACACTACAATTCAACTTAATTTTAATAATTATTTGAATGATTTCGGCTCTCGTTTTTTGAAACATGAGAACTCTTATGTAGCGAAGGAATTTTAAAAAAAAAAAATATTTATAAATATATATATATATATATATATATATATATATATATATATATATATAATATCTCAAACACTTAAAAATCCTACTAATTTTGTTATGTCTTTTTAACATAGAGCTCTCCCTGGATCTATATCCACCTGGAAATTCCATACGGATTACCATATTGTATCATATATATATATATATATATATGTGTGTGTGTGTGTGTGTGTGTGCGTTTGTAAAAATAGTTTAGATTTGTGAATATTATATTTTATATAGTAAACATAAAGCGAGATTACTGGTTCTTTTTTGAAAATTTGGTTCAAAAGTGTACTTGAATCATAAGGCAAACCTTTGTCTAGTTTAGAACTGAGTGAAAAGGTGAATATTATTTTGACATATACCCAAATCATAAGGCAAACGTCAGCCCAGTCTACTCGAATCTTTAGGCGAATGTTGGTCGGAATTATAGTCGAGTCACATTCTATACGGTTTGAATGATACGGTAAACTTTGGTCCGGTTTTGATTGAATCTAAAATAGAAACGGGTTAATGTCTGTCAGACATTCTTTAACTTTGTTTTGGCATACAAAAATGATTTCTAGCTGAAAATTTCCTCTTTAGATGCAAACTGTGAATTTTTTTTTTCAGTTCGCGTAAAAGCACTTCTTAAAAAAAGATCCTGCTAGTGTATTTATATTTTAACATTATCAGATGTCTATCTTGTCGTTCTGAGTATGACAATAAATTACATCCCTGGTCAAGGCGTGTGGTCGACATGTTATGTGGAGCGTGTAACCATCTCTTAATTGCTGGTGTTCTCAGGTCTACTCTGACCCATGGTAGTAGCACCTGTTAGGTATCCCAACTAGGAGTAAATAATTAACACCTAAACTGGGGTCAAAACACTATAAAAAGCATAAAAAAATACATTTTATAGTAAAATTACCAGCAAGATGTTTTTGAAGAAAAAATTGGCAAACAATACATTCTAATAATGTTGTCGGTATTAAATAACCCATTGAGGTTGATATGCCGTAAAAGAAAATAAACCATACCAATCTAAACCAAAGAATACATATTCTATTCATATGAATCTATCCTAAAAATGTTGTCGGCATTAAATAAAACATTGAGGTCTGATATGCCGTAAAACAAAATAAACCATACCAATCTAAACCACAAAAATACATATTCTATTCATATGAATCTATCCTAAAAATGTTGTCGGCATTAAATAACCCATTGAGGTTGATATGCCGTAAAAGAAAATAAACCATACCAATCTAAACCAAAGAATACATATTCTATTCATATGAATCTATCCTAAAAATGTTGTCGGCATTAAATAAACCATTGAGGTTGATATGCCGTAAAACAAAATAAACCATACCAATCTAAACCAAAGAATACATATTCTATTCATATGAATCTATCCTAAAAATTTTGTCGGCATTAAATAAAACATTAAGGTCTGATATGCCGTAAAACAAAATAAACCATACCAATCTAAACCACAAAAATACATATTCTATTCATATGAATCTATCCTAAAAATGTTGTCGGCATTAAATAACCCATTGAGGTTGATATGCCGTAAAAGAAAATAAACCATACCAATCTAAACCAAAGAATACATATTCTATTCATATGAATCTATCCTAAAAATGTTGTCGGCATTAAATAAACCATTGAGGTTGATATGCCGTAAAACAAAATAAAACCATATTCAAACCAAAGAATATATATTCTATTCATATGAATCTATCCTAAAAATGTTGTCGGCATTAAATAAAACATTGAGGTCTGATATGCCGTAAACCAAAATAAACCATACCAATCTATTTGGGATTCATTTCGGCTCCCCTTTTGGGGAGGTTTTCAGCTAGAAATTAATATCGTCGTATACAATTGAAGGATGGATTTTATAAAAATATCGTAAACTGCAAAAAAAAAAAAAAATGGTTTTCCTTTTCCGGGGTGAGATTTGTGTAGAATTAATATATATATTTGAAGTACCACTGGTATTTCTCTTGTATTCATTTATGTCGCTGTGTTTTCTGATAAACTAATTCTTTCATCACTTCTTGCCTGTTTTTCGTGTTGTTTGCTTCTCATGAGACTATCAAATTAACTCTTTATTTTGACGGCCTTCTGGGACTTGGATATATAAATTCAGCCACTCTAGGGACGCGGGGTGGCTTCGGAAAAAATCTTTGTTTACCCAGAAAATTAATAAGACACGTCTACTTATGATTTGAGGGACGATCGGTATCCCGTCCGACAAATGATGTATTTTCTGCAAAATTAAAAACGACATACGACGTCACAAACTTAAAGAGCTTCTCTAAATCTCCAAATAGTTATTTCTTTAACTTAGTTTATCTTATTCTGCGTTCAGATATACCCGACATTAAACTGACGATGTATCATCATCCTGCCTACGTGGGGGCGACAAGTAAATACAAAGTGTAATATCTGTCAATGTAATGGCAATATTAGCCGTTTCCTTATATGGAAACATTCAGCATTCATTAATCGAAAAGCCAGTCATACTCGAGTTACGTATTTCGTCACTTCCTGGTTGTCATGATGGGATCAAAGTGTAGTATCAGTTCTACAGACCTCTCATCTTTATGGCAATATTAACCGTTTCCTTATATGGAAACATTCAGTAATCATTAAGGGAAAAGCCAGTCATACTCGAGTTACGTATTTCATCACTTACTGTTTGTCATGATGGGATCAAAGTATAGTATCAGCTATACTCACCTCTCATGTTATTGGCAATATTAGCGTTTCCTTATATGGAACTATTCAATCGTTGAGCGAATAGCAGGTGATGCATTTAATTGAAATCTAGAAAATCTTTTGCACGAAAATCCCTTCCTCATCTTCACTAACTCTTATCCC